ACTTAGGGTCATCTAAAACCAACTTCAGATCTTTCAGCAAAAAACTGCCCCTGTTTCCGAAAGACACAAAGTTTGACCGGAAGTTTAACCCAAAGCTTCGAGTCTTCCTGGGACGGCCCGAAGCTTTACACGAGCCAGGAACGTACCCAGAGATTTTGTTACACCTGGGTAAGGTTGGGATGTTAATCTAACACCCAGCCCAGGAAAACTACACCTAGATTGGATTAAAGTATATAATATACACATATATATACGCACAAAAACAAATTCGAGATTCAAGGCTAACTCTCGGCCTCTCACTCTCCCACCCCCACAGCACCCACAGCACCCTGCATGCCTTCCCATAACCACTCACAACTCCCACAACTGATTGAGGCTGCTGATTGTCCCCGGAATGGAGCCTGAGAAACTGTTGCCGTTGAGTTTCCTGGTGCATGGAGAGCATTGTGGGTGGGGGAAAAGGTAGGGACTTTACAGCTGACTGGAATTCTTGAACTCATCAAAACTTTCTGTCAACGGATAGAAGGGAAGGTTAAGGTGACGTAAGGATGGGTGCACAGGATGTGAAGTTCGGTGAGGTGGCCAATGGAGGCGGGAATGGTGCCACTCAGGCTGTTGTACTGGAGCTCCCTGTCATGGCATGGCATGGCATGGCATGGCATGGCATGTGATGAGATGGGATGGGATGGGACGGAACGGGATGGGATGGGATGGGATGGGATGGGACGGGATGGGACGGGACGTGACGGGACGGGACGGGATGGGATGGGATTGGATGGGATGGGATGGGATGGGATGGGATGGGATGGGATGGGATGGGATGGGATGGGATGGGATGGGATGGCACAAACAAGCTACACCATGAGCGGCAGTATGCTCAGTAGCTCACCGTAAAAACAAAGTACTGGATAGTAGAAACACGGATCAAGAGAGTGGTGTTGGAATCCGAATCACTCACTCATTGTCGGATGAAGAGACTCCACACGGGCAGATCGTCCTGGCTAGCTACTAGCCCTTATAGATGCCTCCACTCGCTCCTGCACTCACTCATCCACTCACTTGCTCCTTGGATTCCTTGCTCACTCACGCAACCCATCATCTCACTCACAGTTCCACCCTCTCCTCGCTGACCCCCCTGTAAGAAAAGACAACAATCGCACAGTTTGCACTGGTACTTTTCACATTTTGATCTAGTGCGGTTTCTGTTTCCGTGGGCTGGGTGCTAGCCCAAGATCTCAACCTCACCGAAACGAGATTGAACCGTAAATTTTGAAACCTTCAACCCACCAAGTGGAGGTTTCAACTGATCTCATTGTATAATGTCATGAGATTGCCTTCCCAACTCATCTGTGATCTACCTAGAAGAGCTTCGACCCTCGAGCTCCAAAGCCTACTTCTCAACTCTAACCCGGTAAATCTACTCTACTCTAGTCGATTCTATCTAGCTCAATCTCCTTTCCAGATGGTTCCACCCATCCCCTGTCCCAGCCTCTTACTTTCCCCCACCCGTTTACCCCGTCAGCAGGACCCATCACATTGAAACCCTCCATTCCACTCCACTCCACTCCACTCCACTCGACTCCACTCCACCCCACTCCACTCCATCCCACAGAAGCAAAAGGGTGGGGAAAAGGGTTGATTCTATTGATGCAAGAGTCTGAAGTTTCAGACTATAAAACCTCCAATCGTGGCTTTTTAGAATTCTCGATTAGTCAAGTCTGATTGATTAAATTTTTCAAATCAATGTAATGATAATGAGTGCATAATATTTTAACCCTAAAATGAGTGTGACTGACTCTACTTCTTATCAAGTTGAACAACCTTCAACCCAACCCCACACTCTCTTCCCCACGCCTCCCTCCGTTTCCATTGGCTCTCACAGTCCAAACCTTCCCCTTTTCCTCTCACATCTCACAGCCAAAACCTCCCATGTCCCTCCCATCGCCCGTCTCAACCAACTCCTCCTCTCGCCACTTGCAGTTTATCCAACTCCTCCTCTCGCCACTTGCGGCATACCCATGTCCTCCTCGCCGCTTGAAACTCGACAGCCTTCCGATTACACCTCTCCCAGCCCAGACAGCTTCCCCTCTCGCCTCTCACAGTCCACAAAGCCCTACCTTCTCGCCTATCTCAACCCATCCAACCAACTCTCCGTCCTTATAGTCAAACGCACTCTCTCTCTCAGAACTAGTTCATATATAAATATATATGTATATATATATATTCAGTTGACTAACAGTGACAAACTCAGAGCTGCCCTTCTGTGAACACTGGGCATCTTACTGCTTTGCGGCGGACGTGCCATCAGAGCAATAGTAAGATTTCATTATTTTCTATAGGCATTGGTGGTGAAAGGCGGGGTGTAAAACTATGACTAGACACAGGGAGAGATTGGAAGGTGGAAAGCTGAAGTGGACGATGCATGGGGGCAGCAGAGCAGTGCAGAGCTCCATTTGCTTTGGCAGATAATGCTCATATGAGAGAGAAGGGAAGGTTAGCGAGGAGCAAAAATGGGTGCACAATACGGTGAGTCTGGTGAGGTTGCCGAGGCATGCAGGAATGGTGCCACTCAGGCTGTGGCCGCCTTGCAAATTCCTGTTGCGTGATGGCGTGGCATGGGATGGCATGGGATGGCACAGGATGGGAATGAAGCTCCTAGAGTATGTGTGAGAGCGCATGCCAGTGCTGTTGGTCTGGTGCAACTGAGGAACTGAAGAACTAGAGTCAAGAGAGGTTACCATGGCACTGGAGAGAGAAGTCTTAGAGGCAAAATTGCGCCGTCGCGTTTGAATCCCTTTTTGAAGGCATAAGAGACGTTGGATTGGAACGGAACGGGCTAGAAAAAGTACGAGCGCTCTCCTCCTCAAGACTCACGGCTTGCAATGCTTTCCAGTCCGGTTGACCCGGTAAGGTGACTTGGGGCATCCGGCAATAACGGCTCGCAGGATTCAGAATGCTCTTGTGGAGCAACTTTATCCAAAGCAATGCAACCTACGTCAGCAACTGCACACATGACTGACCAGGTCAAGGTCGGTCGGTTGGAGCTAATTTTGAGGCGCCTCGTTTCGAGGCGCCTCGTTTTGAGGTGCCTCAAAAACAAACTACACACATGCCGACCAGGTCAAGGTCAGTTGGTTGGACCATATTCAACCTGCAGGGCAGAACCATCATTTTGCACTCATTCTCTCTCTCATTCTCTCACTCACTCACTCTCAGACATTCACTCACTCATTCCCACAAGGCACTCACAGATCTACCACACCTGATCATCCCACAGCACCTTGCATGCCTACCCCACCACCACTCACAACTCCCTTAAGTGCTTGAGGCTGCTGATTGCCTCTGGAATGGAGCCTGTAAATTTGTTGCCCTTGATATCCCTGGTGGACGGAGAGGGTTGGGCGGAAACAGGGGGGAAGTGTAGAGAGGGGAGAGGAATCATTGGATGGGAAAGGTCGGAAGAGAAGGTATGGGAAAGAGAGGTAAAATGGAAGAGGGGTAAAATGGAAGAGGGGTAAAATGGAAGAGGGGTAAAATGGAAGAGGGGTAAAATGGAAGAGGGGTATAATGGAAGAGGGGTAGAATGATGAAATGCAGTGCAGAGTTGTGAAAGCAAGCGAACTAGTATGGTAGTTTGGAGTAGACTGAGAGTATTGGAAAGGAAGTTGAGATAAAGAGAAAGGTCATAAGGGTACGATGTAAATGGGAAATGATGTAGAATGGTGAATGGTGCATGGCATGGAGATGGTGCATGGCGGATGGTGCATGGCGGATGGTGCATGGCAGATGGTGCATGGCAGCACCCACATTGAAGTCAAGTCTGTGAGGCTGAAGATCCACGCAGGCAGCTCCCCAGAGAGTCGACGATTCCACGACAACTCCCTGATGATGCGAGCAGTCAAGAGGCAAGTAGCAGTCAAGAGGCAAGTAGCAGTCAAGAGGCAAGTAGCAGTCAAGGGGCACGGAGCAGTCAAGAGGCACGGAGCAGGGAAGAGCACGGAGCAGGGAGGAGCATGGAGCAAGGAAAATCACGGAGCAGGGAAGTTGCCGGGAAGGGGAGATGTCAAACCCGACGAGAACAGATGAAGCGAGGGAGCATGGGAAAACAAGGGAGGATGGCTTAGAGCATCCGGGTTCCATCACATGCCATCACATGCCATCACATGCCATGACATGCCATCACATGCCATCACATGCCATGACATGCCATGACATGCCATCATATCCATCACATGCCATCACATGCCATCACATGCCATCACATGCCATCACATGCCATCACATGCCATCCGATGCCATCCCATGCAATCCCATGCCATCACATGCCATCCCATGCCATCCCATGCCATCCCATGCCATCACATGCCATCCCATGCCATCACATGCCATCACATGCCATGACATGCCATGACATGCCATCCCATGTCATCCGATGCCATCACATGCCATCACATGCCATCACATGCCATCACATGCCATCACATGCCATCACATGCCATCACATGCCATCACATTCCATCCCATGCCATGACATGCCATCACATCCATCACATGCCATCACATGCCATCACATGCCATCACATGCCATCACATGCCATCACATGCCATCACATGCCATCACATGCCATCACATGCCATCACATGCCATCACATTCCATCCCATGCCATGACATGCCATGACATGCCATGACATGCCATGACATCCATCACATGCCATCACATGCCATCACATGCCATCACATGCCATCACATGCCATCACATGCCATCACATGCCATCACATGCCATCACATGCCATCACATGCCATCACATGCCATCACATGCCCCTCACCCGGCCTTACAAAGACTGCAGCTTCTGCAGCTGGGAGAGCTGCTCTGGTAGTGAGTCGAGTAGATGGTTGCTCGACAAACTCCTGCATGCACCACGCATGCACCACGCATGCACCACGCATGCACCACCCATGCACCACGCATGCACCATGCAGGTGGAGTGTTTAGCATTATCGGAGGATGGTGCAGGGGAGAGGAGAAGGTTGACCAAAGAAACGAGTGGCAGGAGATGCAAGGGAGTGGGGAGCAGTAGCCGATGCAGGTGGGAGCACAGAGATCATGGCGACGGATGGGGTGTGAGGGGCCAGATGGGGTGTGAGGGGCTAGATGGACATGGGGAGTCGACACAAATTTCCGGTGGAGGAACAACGCTGTAAGCCTCACCTTGCTCCACCACCTGCACTCATTCTCTCTCTTCAATCATTCACTTACCCACTCACCCACCCTCTCACCCTGCAATTCGCACCACCCACCCACCCACTCACTCCCCTCCCACCTGCTACTACTCCCCCTCCCCCCAAGCGCACTGACAGGCGGGTCAGCTGCTGCAGATTGCCCAGATCTTGCGGAACGGAAGCTTTGAGATTGCCGTGAGAGGCGGTGCTGCTGCATTGATGGGCCGTGGCAGGCAGGCATGGGGGAGAGAAGGGAAGACGGCAGGGAGGGGAAATGGCAGGGAGGGGAGATGGCAGGGGTGGGAGAAAGGGGAGAAGAGGCGATTGGGGCCAGAGGACAGCAGAGCAGAGCAGATGAGGATACGAGAGGAGTGCCAGTGGAGCAGTAGAGGGGAGAGAAGAGAGAGCAGGAGGGGGCACGGAGGCAGCAGGTGTGGGGCTGCTGCTGTTGTGAAATAGGCAATGGATCTGATTCACTTGATAAGGGGGGTGGCAGTAGGCATGCGGTTGGATGTGCACGCGAGAAGAGAGAGGTGCGTTCGAGAAGAGAGAGGTGCGTTCGAGAAGAGAGAGGTGCGTTCGAAAAGAGAGTGGTGCATTCAAGAAGAGAGAGGTGCGTTCGACAAGAGAGAGGTGCGTTCGAGAAGAGAGAGGTGCATTCGAGAAGAGAGAGGTGCATTCGAGAAGAGAGAGGTGCATGGGAAGCAATATTGTACTGACAGGCCCATGGGAGAAGGATTTTTTCCTGGGAGATCCGGGAGTGAGCGAGGGAGTTGATTGCAAAGCTCGAAATCACTGCAGGCAGGCAGCACGCACAAATATGGTGTATGGCGATAATACGGGTAAGCGGAAAGGATGGACATAGGGGTAGGGGCAGAATCGTAGAAAAACGGATGGAAACAGGAGGAGACGCACAAGAGAGGGTGACGTGGGCGAGACAATATAATAGAATAGAAGAGAAGGCAGGCGAGATAGGGCAATCAGTATTTAGCCAATCAAATGCAAGTCAGTGACATGCAAGTCAGTAACATGCAAGTCAGACACATGCAAGTCAGTACAAGCAAAGACAAGTCAGTGGGGGAAGTGGGGCATGGAACGAGCGAGGGCCATGGGGAAGGGAGAGTGAAACAGGAGGAGTCTCACAGATCCTTGAGATGGGACAATGCGAAGAGAGCCGTGGGCAGGGGGGCGACAAGGCTGCACCCTCTGATGTTGCTGTGGGAGGAGAAGGATGAAATGGAGGGAAGGAGGATTTAAGTTGTAACAAATAATGAGTTCACAGATGCGAAGGGAATGGAAACAGAGGCAAGGGGGCAATGGAGGGTGCACAGTGCAATGACATGCTTACAGTGAAATGACATGCCCATCGCCATCACACTTCAAGAAATCCATGCTGTCGCAATCCCTGCCCCTGCTCCACGTGCTCGTACCCGCGGCCTCTTTCCAATCTTGTGCCAGACTCTCCAAAGCTTCAACTGTCATCCATTCACGCCATTCGTCCATGCCATACATCGCGGAAAAGGGATTGCTGCTATGTTGCGGAAAAGTTGAAAAAAAGCAACTTTTAAGTTACCTCCCTTCCGCAACATTCAAGTCATGGACGAGAGTTGCGGAAACGGCAGTCACTTGAAAGTTGCGTGAAAGTTGCTTTTCTGCAACACTTCCGCAACTTTGCGGACACATGTTGGATACCTGCAGTATACATTTCAGTCACTCAAATGTTACTTTCACGACCTGCCACGTGGCACGTGTACAGTTTCGACTACCAAGTGTACGTACGCTTGTACGTACGCGAAGACATTTTGCCACGTAAGCAACGATATTTCTGCCAGGTGTCATACTCGATATGTGAACGACGGCGTGACACGTGGCCCTATCCGAGGTGATTTTTGTGCACTCCAAAACGGATTCTAATTGGCGGAAATTTGAATACAGGGTGCAGGCGGCGTATTCGTTTCAGGCGCATTTTTTTCTGTTGTGGTTGGAGTTCAGTGTATGTGTACAAAAACAAGCTACATTTCTTTTTGCAAAGTTGCATACATGTAAAGTATACACATTGCGCTAACAAAACAAAAATAAAAAGAGCAGAGCAAAACCAACTATTTATAGAGCTGCAGGTGTTTTTAGGTAGTCACAACAGGGCTATACTATGCTTCGGTTTAAAGCCTGCCACAACAAAAAAAGCGTGTTTGCTTCATAGCTTCTGAGTCAGCATGTAATTACCGCACAAAACGGGAGCACGAGTCCGCTACGTCCTATTGCAACCGTGCGCAGCAGATCCTAGTGACCCTGAGGATGGCCGGCGTAGATTACTCGCAGGCGTCGTACATCACTCACGTTGTGAAGGGGTTGCCGCAGCAGTACAACCTCTTACGCAGGATGCTGAAGTTGCCGCAGGTTCGCAAGGAGTTGGACGAGGACACCCTCGCTAGCTACATCATCGAGGAGGAGTGTACGCTGGCGGCAGAGGGACGAAAGGACCAATTTCTTCCCCAGGCTAACCAGGTCTTTACCAAGAAGGGTAAGCCCCAATTCCAGCAGACTTCATTCCCTTCCCCTCCCACTACGGCACAGCAGCAGCAGCCTAAGAATGGGGGTGGGCTTGGTGGGGGAGGGGAGAAGTGGAAAGGGGGTAAGGATGGCCAGCCGAAGGGGGGGAAAGGGGGCTTCAAGGGGAAGTGCTATGTGTGTGGACAAATAGGGCATGTTGCTAAGTACTGTCAGCAGCGGGCGGATAAGGAGGCAGACACCGGTGGAGAGGGTTCTGGAGGTAGCAGCGGAAAGGGGGGTGATGGCTCTAAGGGGAGCGGGCAGTCATCATGTGCGATGGTGAAGCCAGTTGTGGAGCAGACTCCTCTCGTTGTGCTAGAGCCTGAGGCCGGGGAGGGCTTACAGGCTGTTGCAGCTGCTGTGAAGGCGAACCCGAGCATCGTGCTGCTTGATAGCGGATGCTCCCACCATCTCATGGGAGATCGTTCTGCCTTTGTGGAGATGAGCAGCGGCGGCAGCATTAAGCAGGTTACCGGCTTCAACGGCGCCCTTCAGGAGGTGCAGGGGCGAGGCACAGTCACTCTTCTTGGGGAGGGGGGCAGGCGTGTCTTGGTGCCGGACGTGCTGTACGTACCAGGAGTGCAGGCGAGTCTTCTCTCTGCTGGGCAGCTGCGTGATAGTGGTGTGCAGCTGCTGGATGCCGGGGATGTGACTTTGCTGCGGGCACCAGATGGATCGCTCCTTGGTCGTGCGGAGTTCAAGGGGCGTGTTCTCTGCACGAACTTCCAGCCGTGTTCGACGCAGCAGCAGGAAGGCGAAACGGTGGCACTTTGTACCTTGGCGACCGGCGTACGGTCTAAGGGGGACCTGTGGCATGCGCGTATGGCACACGTTGGTATTGATGCCATCGAGCGCACAGCGGCTCACGGGTCAGTGAAGGGCTTGGATTTGGAGAAGGGGGGCAAGTCAGGCATACCTTGTGTCTCCTGTGTTGGGGGAAAGATCACTCGTCATACCTTTCCTTCTGTGGGAGAGGAGGAGGATGAGTTGCTCGGGGTGGTGCATGCTGACCTGTGTGGCCCTTTTCGTGAAGCAGCTAAGGACGGCAGCCGCTACTTCTTGGTGCTGAAGGATCGCAAGACGCGGTTCGTCTGGGCCTACCCTTTGGCCAAGAAGAGCGATGCATTGGCGGCGTTCCAGAAGTGGCTCCCGATGGCAGAGAGGCAGTGCAAGACCACGGTGAAGGCGCTGCGCACTGATCGGGGTGGTGAGTTCCTGGGCCACGACTTCACGCTCTTCCTCGACGAGAAGGGGATCATCCACGACCTCACGTGCCCGTATACGCCGGAGCAGAACGGAATGGCCGAGAGGGAGATGCGCAGCATTGTGGAGGCGGTGCGGACGATGTTGCTGCATATGGGTGTGCAGCATCACTGGTGGCACCTGGCGTTGGCGCAGGCCGTCTGGGTGCGCAACCGCGTGGAGCATGCCTCGCTGCCCTCTGGTGTGACGCCGTACGAGCTCGCCTTTCGACGCAAACCCGATGTCAGTATGGTGCGTGTCTGGGGCTGCATGCTGCAGTACATGGTACCACAGTCGCAGCGTGGGGGGAAGCTGGCGCCTAAGGCTCGCTGGGGGTTGCACTTGGGTGTGTCAGCTGCGAGCAAGGGCTGGGCCGTGCTGGACTTGGTGTCCAACCGCCTCATCACCACTGTGGAAGCTGTGTTCTATGAGACCATGTCCCTAGCAGGATGGAAGGCTTGGCATCAGCAGGAGCATGGGGGGCGTTCGATGCCCTATGAGCCCCTTCCCTCTTTCTTCCCGATCGCTCTAGAGGAGGTGGAGGAGGAGGAAGTGGTCGCACCTCCTGCTATGCCCTATGTCCCTACCTCGGTCCCCACCCCACCTCCGCCTTCAGTCTACCCTCGTGTGATTCCCCCTGCCCCGCCTTTTTCCTCCTCACCCCCCTTGGCTTCCCCTCCTCCTCCTGTTATTCCATCTCCCCTTCCACCCTCCATCCCTCCTGCACCTGCTCCGCCCTCTTCTTCGTCTTCCACGGCGCCGCTCGTTGGTGAGGGGGGGATGGAGGTGCCACCGTCTGTGGAGATCACCGACGGGCAGCGCCTTGAGACTGAGCAGCTGCAGGACGAGAGCAGTATGGATGGAGTACAGCAGAGTGGGGGGCAGGAGACAGGGGAGCAGCAGACAGGGGAGCAGCAGATTGGGGAGCAGCAGACAGGGGAGCAGGAGATGTGGGGAATTAGAGATGGTGGTCGTGTGTTGGTTTCTGGGACGACCACTGCACCACTGCGTCGCTCCACTCGCATCACTCGTGGTGTCCCGCCTGTTCGATACGCTTGGGCTGTAGTGGTTGAGCCAGCGGGCTTGGATGACGAGGAGGAGGACGAGGAGTGGACTGACCTGGACCCGGACGTGGCAGCTGACCCTGAGAGGCAGTGGGACATAGCGAAAATGACAGTGAAGGAGGCCTTGGGCTGCTGGAAGGGAGACAAGGTGAAAGAGGCGATGGATGAGGAGATGCGGAGCTTGATTGAGCAGGGGACGTGGGAGTTGGTTCCGCGTCCGCCAGGGGTGAATGTGATGAAGAACCGCTGGATTTTGAACACCAAGTTCCGACCTGATGGGATAGTGGAGCGTGAGAAGGCGAGGCTGGTGGTGAAGGGGTTCACGCAGGTGGCAGGGGTGGACTATGAGGAGACGTACGCCCCTGTGGGAAGCTATGTGACGGCGCGTGTGCTTCTGGCGATTGCAACTGCACTTGATTTGGACCTGATGCAGCTCGATGTGAAGAACGCGTTCCTCCATGGCGTGCTGGACCGAGACCTTTACATGGAGCAGCCGAGCTACTACGAGGATGGGACTCCTCGTGTCTGTAAGTTGGTGAAGAGTCTGTATGGGCTCAAGCAGAGCCCGATGCTATGGTATGAGGCCTTGGATGGGGTGCTGATTGGGGCTGGATGGAAGAAGAGCCAAGTGGATGAGGCTCTGTACTTCAAGAGTGATGCTGAGGGGGAGATGTGCTGGCTGCTGGTGTATGTGGATGACTTGCTTGCTGCCAGCCGCAGTCAGAGCATGCTAGCGGAGCTGTGTGACCTGCTGCAGAGTGCCTTTCAGCTGCGGGAGATTAGCCCTGTGGAGAAATATCTGGGGTTGCAGCTGATTCGGGACAGGCCCACGAGGAGGCTGTG